CTTCACAGTTTTTATCCAAGTCTCTTGCCCACATATAAATGGGGTTGTTTTCACTTTTCAAGTATAGTCTAGCAAAGGAAAGGGGAGAGGGAGGAGAGGGGAAGGGGGAGGAGGGAGGGCAACTGGTGGAATATCACCTAATGTCCACAATGTGAGGGTGTTCAGCACACTCCCTGGGGGAAGGGCTCAAGTACAACTTGAACTTTATCTTTGAACTGATAACAGTGTAACCTAAATATTTGTACCCTCATATTAATCTAAAAATGTGCTCTTTTAATTGCCCACTATTATGACTTGTCAGCAAGCCCATACCCTTTACTCCATCTGAATTCTTTTCTGACCTCTTGCCTTTATCAGAAATGTCTCTTCCTTTATCTTCCTTGAACTTTTACTATTATGGTTTTCTTTCTTCCTTTCTTCATATTAGTTCTCTCTCTCCATTTCTGGAAATTTTCTTCCTCTTATGTCTAACTCAAAGTTATTTTCTATGCCTTTGTCTTAGACCTTCATTCTTCTCTATATTTTCTACTTGGGAACATTCATTTATTTTTATAGCTTTCATTTTCACTTATTTGTAGGTATTTCCAAGTCTATATGATTAGAATATTTTAATATTCAAACTCTCGTTTATTGTCCTTTATATTCAACCAATATTTAAGTTGCACGTGGTAAGGAAAAAATGAATTTAAAGATAAAATCCACCATTATCTAGTTTTCAGAGTTTTTTTGTGGTTTGGATTGAGTCATTTGCAAATGAGGACAATAGTACCTAACTTGCTCATTATAAAAAATTGTTCTTATATACAAATAAGAAAAAAGACTATGAAAGGGTTTTGTGAATACCAAATCATTATGCTATAAATGTTAAGACTTTATTAATATTATTACTGATTTTGTGCTTTCATTTATATTATACCTCATTTTTTCTGCAATTGTTTCCCCCTTGTTCTGCAATTATCTCTTTCAAAAATAAATTTTCCCTCAAAATACCATAATACTTACATTGTTTTCAAATTTTTGGCTTGATATTACCCACTAACAGAATTATTTAACATATAGGGTAATTAATAAATACTTATTGGTGGATTAACTTTACGGTTTTACTAGAACAAGCCATGTGTATTTTAAATTTTATCTCAAAATTTGAAAGTTTATATTTGGAATTTAGTAATGTTCAGTAGAATCATACACCTTCATTTTCATATTCTTAAAAAATATTTCTTGATTTGCATATCTCTGATGATTAAAGATGATAAGCATTTTTTCATGTGTCTGTAGGCCATGTCCCTGTCTTTTTCAGAGAAGTTTCTGTTCAAGTCTCTTGCCCACAATGAAATGGGATCACTTGTTCTTTTCTTATGAATTACTTTTATTTCTCTGTAGATTCTAGTTATCAAACCTGCAAACATCTTCTCCCATTCTGAGGTCTGTCTGCTTGCTTTACTTACTGTGTTCTTATAAAAGTTTTAACCCAATAATTATGTCAGTGAGGGCAAGTAAGTAACTATGTTAACCAGTTTGATGTAAGCATTCCAAATTGTATATATAATTAGTACATTGTACTCCATAAATGCATTAATGTACACAATTATGATTTAACAAAAAATTGTTAAGAGAAAAAATATTTCTTGAACAAATATTCTATATAAGTCACTGTATTAAATAGTGGAAATATATAGATATGTTCCTATATTTGTTCAAAGAACTTAAAGTATTACCCTGGGAAATAAAGATGCTAAAAGCCTAGTGGTTTTGCCTCCTTTTCTCAAGAAATTAATTTTCCCTGAAAATAGGAACAGTCAAAATATCACATAAGCATTCCACCTTTACATACTTTCCTTATCCACTTTATTCTTCAAAACTATAAAGATGAAATAGGCCCTTAGAACAGATATTTTATAAATCTCAACATTTATTTCAGACAAAAACACTCATTAAACAATAAATAGAGAATTTTCTTTTCTTGCTAATATCTACTGATAATAAATTTACAGAAAATATCATGCAAATTAAAGTCAATTCATAATCCCATTAATAGCAAGAATAAGATAAGGATAAATTAGATTCATCTTTTACTTTACTTTAACTTTCACAACTTTATTTGATCCTTTTGGCCCTACCTTTAAATGTATATCTAGAATCCGACTACTACTCATCAACTACACTGCTACTACCACTGTTCTAGTAACTCTTCTCTCTGTCCTGAATTATTGCAGTAGCCTCCTAAGAGATCTTCCTGCTTTTAATCTTTTCCCCACTTTTATTCTCAACATTGCACATAGAAAGTGACATTTGAACTGAGTCATGAAAGTAAGCAAGATTTTGACAGGCAGAGACAATGGGAAAGATTTTATCCAAGAACACATAACTAGTTAATACCAGAGCTGTAAAATAGAATCATGAAATAGACTGAGAATTAAAGGATGATACTTAAAAATAATTTTAAATGATAGGGGAAATGGAATTTATAGACTTGAAACTAAACAAAGTGGATGGTGGGACACAAATTGACAACTGGCATAGTAACCATGATGAAAGGCTAAGGGACACAAATATAATAGTAAAATATTGGTATAACTCTCTTCATAAAGTTGTTTTTTTTTTAAAGAAATACTAATTTATAAAGTAGCTAAAAGGAAGATGATTACAATTATTTTTTGTAACATGATAAAATTTTTAATGCATATTTTTAAATTGTTTAATTTCCAAAGAATTCCTTTTTCCTATTTTATAAATATGTTTTTGTGTTGCTACATTGCTGTGCCCTAAGCATGTATACGATTAGTCTACCCTTTTTCCCATTACCTACCATGAGATTTGAAATTTTCTCATTGACTTCTGACTGTCAATAATAATTTATAATCCCATAATCTGACTTCCTTAGACAGTGTCCCATTTTTTTGACATTTCCAAAACTCTTTTCTATATGGAAAAAAAATCATACCACCTACTATCATTCACTGAGCTGTCCAACTAATTCCTCCTTAAGGTATTAAGTTTCATTTTGGTTGCTTTTCCACTAATTTCATTTTTATTACTCTTTTTGTATTTTTTAAATTTCAGATTAACATATTGGTGCAAATGTTTAGGTTATGTTGCTTGCATTTTTTAGGTAAAGTCTAAGTTGTAGGTTAGTCCTTCACCCAGAAAGTGTGCCATATACCCCTACATTTTACCCATCAGGCAAGAGATTAGCAAACCTCCTCCTTCATTCCCTCTTCACCATTCCCATTCTCCCTCTCCACTAGTTGAATTTAATTGTCTCTTTTTTCTTGTGTTAGTGTGTAGTTATTCATACTAGTTTTATATTAGTATTACGTACATTGGATGCTTCTTTTCCATTCTTGTGATACTTTACTTAGAAGAATGTTCTCCAAATCTATCTAAGTAAATACAAAAGATGTAAAGTTTCCATTTTTCCTTATTGCTGAATAATATTCCATCATGTACATATATCATAGTTTATCCATTTGTGAGATTGGGCTGTTTCTACATAATTATATTTTAATTGAAACCTTAAAAAATCTTAAAGCCAGAATATAAATTATTTCAAATGTTTGGAGTCAAGATAATGTGAAATGCTTTAGAATATAAGCAGCATTTCTTTTATTTTTATTGTTGGGGATTCATTGAGTGTACAAATAACACAGACAACATTTCTACATGCCTGTTCCAAATCACAATGTATAGTTAAAAGCTGTTATACTTTATTTAAACATAAAATTAGACAACAATTTGTTCTAATTATTTTAGAGGCATAAAGATGTATAGAAACACTGAACAATAAATCAGTAGTCTTATAATGAGACACATTTCTGACAATACAACCAAAGATACTTATAACCAAAGGTCAAGCAATAAGAACAGATAATTCATAAAGGAGGAAGTAAACATAAGAAGCAAAATCAGGAAATAATATTAACCATGATTAACAATGAAAGAAACCCTGTGAGATAATTATTGTATTTAATATTATAGCAATATATATTATGCATATGTTTTCATGTATCATTATATAAACACATAAGATATAATTTTTACATGTATAATCTATGTAAGACATATTTCACAACTGCTGTGATGGTGGTACATTTATTCACTGCTGACTGAAGAAAGGGACCAATATCATCTGGCTTACCCTTCTTTGGGGCTTAAATGAGAATATGTAGAGGGAGTCATAAATTGGGCAATACTATTTACTCAGTAATCCCACTCCAAAAAAACAACTTGCAATAAAAAATTCAGCAGGAAAAAAAACAAACTTTATGCAGAAAGATGATGAATTAAATACTGTCTCTTTCTCTATAAGAGAAAAACATTGGAATTAAACTAAATGCATACGATTAGAGGAAGGTTTACTAAAATCCAAAGCAGATTAGTATGTATTCATTAAAATTATTATGATGAAATTTAGAGAATAAGAGGAAAAAGTTTATACCATAACATTAAGAGAATAAAGCAGGGAATGAAATACTATGGTATGGTGAGTAAGCAAAAATATACCTGTTTCTGGACAAACAGTACACAATAATATGCAAATATGAACATATTTGTGCTAATGTGGTGAAATTAGTAATTCAAGCAAGTTATATAATGTGTTTTATATTTCTACATTATATTTTCAATTTTTAAGGTTTGAATTTATTGATATAGCTGTGGGAACTTAAAGTAATGATGCAACATTGCTAGCCTTCAGTTCCTGTATAAATACTGGTGATTAGACTAATATTCAGTACCTATCACACTTCAGTGACCATAAGATCACAGAGGAAGCTTGTTGAACATGCAGAATACTGGATTCCATTTTATAGACTTTAACTTCTTAGGTCTTAGGTGGAGTTCAGAGACTTGCATTTTAACAAGAAATAATGATATCTAAGTTCCCTTCCATCTGTGTCATTCTGTGTGTTGGTTTGGTCCTTAACACAACAGGGCTTATCTATAATTAGTAGATAAATAAAATTTTCCTTTTATTTTCATTTTTCTGCTTTGTTTCTCAGCCTGAAGCACAATGGATTCATAAGCTGCTTTAAAGAACAACTGAGCTCTTGGTTTCACAGAATGGCCTTACCACAGTAAGCAATATCTACTCTCAAATGAGCGTTTCTACTTCTGTGGAACTGTAAAAAATAAAAACAAGTCTTCAATGAGTATCACAAGCTGGGTTTTTTACATGTAACTTATAGATGTGATGTATATATTATTTGTTCAATATCTAAATGATTCAGATCAAAACAACCTAGCATTTTACCCCATGGTCTGAAGCTTCAGCATAGAAACTACTTCTCATTTAGGTTAAAATGTGGCAACTTCCCTTTGAATGCCCTTATCATGTTTCCTTAGACTTCTTTTTTTAACTTAGCATTCAGCAAAAGTAAACAGAAAATAAAAGGAAGGAACCAGATTTTCCACAACTTTAAAAGAAATAGAGCATTATATGTAGACAGTAACCCCTGACAAGGATTCCTTGCTTGACAAAACTTTAATTTTTCCAACCTTCTTCTAGGCCTAAGTATTTCCTTGTAAAATTCACTTTTAGCAAGAACCTTATCAAGTCAGTCAAGTTAGGATTTTCTACCCTTGATGGCTAATTACCCTTAATATAAGAACAGATGTCTCATCCTCTACTGTCCCTCAGGAAATACTAGAATCCTGTTAGATCAAGATAGTCATAATCCTCTCTTACCCTGATATTACCTCCCAGCAATTTTCCATCCACTGACTCTAACCCTGCTTCTTGGCTATATATAGAGTTGAGCGCAATCTCTCTTCTACACTGGAAGAGCCCATTGCCATGGTCCCTATACGTATTGTGATAATCCAACTATAGAATAAAATCTGCTTACCATCTTCGACAAGTGCCAGTGAATATTTTTTTTTCTTTAACACCCCTGCAGGGGTGTTAATTTTTAACTTAATTATTGACCTTGAGATATTTTTTTTCCTTTAGTTAATTTCTTTATATACCAATAAACTTTAAATGCCCACAAAAGAATTACACACATATCTCAATCATTTTATATATTTCTGTGAATCTGCTTCTCACATTCTTTTCTGAGTCAAGGTAGGAGAGAGCAAGAGAACACACCATAGAGAAATTCTTCACTTTACCCAGTCTACTTTCTGCCTTCTTGTTATCATCTTGAGTTCAGTTTTCTCTCAGAAATGAATAGCTATCTGACATAATTCTTAAAGAGGTGCTATTTTTCTAAATGATTTGATAACCTTACATATGCAGAGATTACACATGCAAAAAGCTTTTTCATTGCAACCTACGAAAAGCTTAAAAAATTAATTTTTGTCTATAAGACATTTGTTGAAGATGAATATATGACAGTATTGTAATACAATGAAACCATCATGTGAATGTGAAAAATAATAAAGAAGCTCTGTGTATTGACATGAAAAGATCTCCAATATAAATTTAAGTGAAAAAAGTAAAGACAAAAAAGAAAGGATATGCTATATTTTCTGTAGTGTTTGTATTTGCACAAAGAAACTCTCAAAGGATATAAAATAAAATGATAATAGTGATTATGAATCTCAAATGAGTAGTGTTTGAAGAAATATGTAGGTGAGGAAAAGAAAAAAAATTTAGACCTAATACTTATATTTATCCAGTACACACTGAATGAGCTATAATGGTTGATAAAATACAGCAATATTTCTAAAACTGTTAGTAAATTTCATCCATGCTATTCAACTTCTACCTTCAATGTTGCCCCAGACCTATCCTTCAACAATCAAAAAGCTAAGACATAATTGAAAGTACAAAAGACTTATTCAGAGTAATATTTGTGAAGAGAAAAGGGCTGTGTGGAATAAATAGGGAGAAACACTAAACTGTCAGGAAGATTGCATGTCTGCAAAAGGTAAAAATAAAAAAAAAAGTGAGAGAGAGAGCTAAATAGGAAGAGCCTCAGTTGCATTGCACTACAACTCAGAGAAAGTCTCAGCCAGGTCAATGGGTAGCCCAGAGCAAATACTGTTCTTTAGATGAGTGTGTATGGGGCAGGAAAACCTTACTGCTAGTACCTCCCATAGTGCTTATTCATTGGCTCAAGTAGTCTAGTGAGAGCATTGTCCCAGTATGGACACTGGTGGATCTTCAATGAGCAGTAAGTAGAAGCTGTCAGCTGACTATATCAGCAGTATGCAAAGAACAATCTCTCTTGAAGTGATATTTGAGCTGCAATACACTATGATTGTCACAGTCAAAATCCACTTGTCTATGAAGTCTTATTTGTTTAAAGTTTGTATGGCCTTGTCCTCTTTAAGGGAAACTTAAATGAGGAAAGATAGTGGAAAAACTACAGCCCTTAGCACTCCAGTTAGTCTTAGGGGCACAACTGTCTGCCTTCTACTACACTGTCCGTTCTACATTCCTTTCATCCTCAGCTGTCACTTCAACATGTCTTGATGTCTTATGCTGACTTGGTTGTACAAGCTCAAACTTCATCCCTGAGATGTCTGAACTCCTAGTAATAATACTATTCTCTGATTACATTCACAGTTAAAACTGCACAAGGGTGTAAAAAGAAATGCGCACGTATTCCTTCTTTTCCACATTGTAAAAAGCAGCTCTACATCCTCCTGCTCATCAGATTAAATTACCTTTGTCAAAATGGTGACTCTTCTCAACAACTGCTCTCTACAGACAAGGAGTCCAAAGTGTCCTGGCAGCAGCTATAACTAGAGGGATTCTTATTATTTCCCTTGAAAAATGTATGCCTTGTTTTGGGGGTCAGGAGCTATAACTCTGTAGATCCCAGAGCTGCTATGACAAGAAGCACATGGGCCTCCAGTGAGTTACTTAGGGTGATGCCAAGTGGGGTCATTCTGTCCCCTTAAGTATATGTGTTCCTCTTATTGAGGATGCAAAAACATGCATAAATCTTTGATTCAATGCATACATTGCATGTTAAAAGATAGCACTTCTAACTAGCATTCAATTTTGTATAATCTTGCATAATTTTTCCTTCAATAAATCTCTCAATCTTTCTGTAAGGCTAGCTTCTTCAGGATGGTGCAGTGTGTGATGTGACCAGTGGATCTAATGGGTCTATTCCCCAAACTCCTTTGCTGTTAAGGAGGTTATACGATTCTATAGTCCTTCAATGTTACCCCTAAAGGTGCCTATAATAAAAGTGCCATCCATTTTCAGCTTGAACCCACATACTGGGATGACCTATATATAAACCAAGCTCAGGGTGTTTTTCCTCCTTCACATAACCACATATACAAGCTGAAGGAGGGTCCCAGTGTAAATACAGTGGATCATATAGAGATCTGTGCTGCCTGATTATGCAGCTTACCTTCACCTTCTGTTTCTGCTCAGATTTAATCCCAGAATGACTGTATCCATTTTATGATGGAAAGCTGCTAGTCTTCCCTGATTTATATTTTATGACTTTGTAATTCTAATAGAATCATATTTATAATTGGAACTTCTGGATGCATGGCCATTTCATACCCTATAATATTGAATTTTTTTCTCTTACAGCCTAACATCATGCGAGTAGCTGTCTCAAAAGGTCATATAATTCTGTTATGGATGGCTTTGCTTCAAAATTTTAGCAACCTGCATTAAGATTCTCACATTGAATCTTACCATATGCCCCGCCCTGCATCTTTCCCCATTATTGACACCTCCAATGCCATGGTATCTATATGATTATATGGCACAAGGAGTAATCTGCTGATAACCACAATCTAGACTTTCTGCACCACCCTTTTATGTTTCAGGCATCATTGAAATCTGGCAGCCTCTAGTGTCACCCAGTAAATGAAATGAAGCCATATTCTTAGACATGGAATATGTTGTTGTTAAATCCAGAGAGGCTCACCAGGCATTGCTTTTCCTTCTGTGTAGTACTAAATGCAAGAGGTAACATTTTTTTTTTCATTCTTTTGAAAGGGGTAACAACTAAGCATATTTTTGACTGTTGGATTCCTAAAGTCTTTACTGTAGTTCCAAGTTCCTGAAGCATTTTAAGATTTATGAATCCATTCTCTGAAGTGCATATGCCTTAATAAGGATTACTTCTGCTATACTAGTCACCTTTTGGTTATCCTGCCTTATTAGTGTAATGACATGATGTGAGAGCATGATCTCAACATGTATACTGTGGTAGATTCCAAATTTATAGCAGACAAAAATTGTCATTCAACTACTTACCTTATCAGCTCACAATCCAGCAACGTGAGGATTGCGTAGGAGATTTAGTTGGATTCAAATTTCCTTAGCTAGTGTTCATTCCAGTTATTTGTTTTTAATACCAGTTGTTAAATATTTTAATTATTATCACCCTTGTGGATTTCTTAGGAAGGTTGCAAGTCTTTCAGATATTTAAAAACCATAGGAAGGGGAGAAATTCCTAGTAATGAATGAGCCAAGTTTGGGCTTATTGAAGCAAATGAGGGGCTTAAAGCACAAAATTTAAAGAGATATTTACTCTCATGTTTATGAAAGTTAAGGATTGGCACATGCACAAACTTGAGATTGAGTATCTTTTTAAATTTTGGACCTCAAGGGCCTCCCTTGCTTCATCTTAGTTCAGGTCTTGTGAGTGTGACTGACTTCTCTATTAGAATAGAAGTTTGGCACACAAATTCTGCCTTGAGATGATTTATAGAAAATAAATTGATATGGTATCTTAAAAGGCTGAAGTTATAAAACAAGCCACATTTTACTAGAGGCACAAGTCTCATGCAAGGGAAGATGGCAATAGTATAAAAAAGATGTGAATTCTCCACAAATTTTTGCCAACATGTCTTCTTATATGAATTAGAGAATAGCATTCTAAAGTTCGTATAAAATGTAAGTGATATTATTCAGTTAAGTGGCAAAAAAAGGAGCAAAGAGCTAAGGCTAATTTGGTTTAATATTAAAATATATTGTAATCTCTCAAGATCTGAAACATTATGGTAAAGGTGCATGTACAGACATAAAAATTAATGGCATACAATATAACACTAAGGGGTAGGCCTAACTATATTATTTTATCCTAGGATAAAGGTGACATCACAAATTATTGAAAGGAAGATTAACTATAATATAAGAAATTATTGAGTGTTACAGTTAACTATTTGGGAAATGATCATTAAACCTGGATAATTCTAAATTAATCAAATGTTTGAATAAATAAAATAA